TTCACATTTTGAATACCTTGGGCAAGACGAGATCCCTGGAGAAAAGAAAGAATATTCCTGGCACATTCCATTTGGCCGTCATGAGGACGAATGGCAGAGATGAAAGGATGAAAACTCTCAGCATTACCCATGAGTGCTTCTAAGGCTACAGCCGAGATTGCCTGCACTAGCACGACCAGTTGATGAGTCTCGTACATAACGAGACTGGACAGTGCTGCAGAGAATGAAGTACCGTTGACTAGGCCTAATCCCTCCTTAGGACCTAGAACTTGAGGCTCCATGCCGGCAGACAAAAGTGCATCTTTAGAAGACATTATCTGAGATTTACGAGATTTCTGTACGTGGACATGCACATCAGGGTTGCCTTCAATCGCGCCTGCGATATAGGAAAGTGGAATGAGATCTCCAGAAGCGGAGATAGAGCCTCGTAAAGGAACAACCGGTGTGATGTGGCTCTCCAAAAGCTGCAAGATGGACTTCATCACTGAAAGCGTAACTGCAGAGTGGCCGCGGGCGTTTGAATTGCACCGAACCAACATGGCTGCTCGCACCCAGGGGACGGGCACAGCATGTGAATCCAGGCGACCTGGTCGCTCGAGGTCCACATTGATATTTTTATCTGAGGCGACTAGCACACCTGCTTGTAGAAGCTGGGAGAGTCCGGATTGCAATGCGACCACTCGATCCGTTCGAGAATCAGCACTGCCGCCGAAGCCAGTATTAACACCTTCGAAGAACATCAGTACACCAAGTCATACAGCAATTTGACCCAAAAGGGGTACTGACCGTAAACGTGGTAGCCATTGTCCAAATGGTCTTTCAACACCTGCACACTTGCTTCAATCTTATCAAGGACAGCTGGGTCTGTGGTGATCTTGGGTATGCAACCATAGCTGTTCAGGGTCAGCATCACCCAAGAAGTGGTTGTTGCCACGAAAGTTCCAGGATTTGCTACTTACTATGCTACTGCTGCTATAGCAGAGATGTCAAGACTAGCTCCATCAACATCAAATGTACCATCTCTCAGCAGATTCTGCAGGCGTTGACGTGCCTGGCATGCAGTCTGTAGGTGGGTCTGCAAGTCACTCAGGTTTCCCATATTCAACAAGTCCATCGTTACTTTGGAATAAAGTTTCCTTTGTTTGCTGTGACAACTCTAACCTAAGGCCTAGGTGGGCTTTAAGTAGTTGTTTGTCACTGTATTTCACCGGGAGTGCAATCCGATGTAACGCAGTCTATAACCATGGAAGACAGCCTTCGAGCGTGCTAATGACACGGGTCGATCGTGAGCTAAGGTGAGACTATTTCCTTGTTGCATTAGATCGACATCTTCGGGTGCGGTTCCGCTAGGATGTCCAGGCGATAGCTGAAACAATAGACTATCTCTAGAGCCTGGTTGGTCCTTCCTTCTAGTCTTGGCTTGTCACTAGTAGGAATTTGCGCACTATACGCCACTTTGCTGCAGAGCTTAGCCAACTGAAACGGTCAATGGGAGGGTATGCGACCCCAAGGCCCAGGCCAAGCGATAGGGTTCAGGGGGGTGTCGATCTTTGTGCTAGGATCCCTGGCTGAACCAGACTGCAGTCACAGAGGAAATAGACTTCCAGGCAGGACCATAGTTAAAACCTGCAGAATTTGCCCGAAGTGAAGGAATTCGGATATGTTCACGGCGAAAAATGACGCACTGGGGAAAGTCGGTAAGTCGGTCAGCAGTGCAGGAAACAGTCGAGAAGGGAAACCAAAGGGTCTTCCATTTTTGGACGAAGTTGCATTGAAGAAGCCGCCTTTTACTACCTTGTGAGACTCTTTTAAAAAAAGTCCTTCTGCCCGGTTTTCTTTTCTTCCTCTTCTTCTTTATTTTTATTTTATTTTTTATTTTTAGTCTAGATGGTATTCTGCAGATACCCTGGGTTTTTCATTTGTTCTCTTCTCATAGATTAATTTAAATGAAATTTTGCGTGGTTTAATTTACGTGGTGGCGTTAAGGGGGAGCGATAAAGAAAGCCAACAAGAAAAAAGAAAAACAACCATCAAGATATGGGATATCTACTACTACTTTCAATAGCCTGTACTAAAGTTAAGTATACATTCCTTTGTCAAATCACCTGAACCATCTTGCGCCATCCCATTTGTCATTCGAACATAAGAAGAGACAAAAAAGAAAAAAAAAAAAAAAAAAAAGACGAAAGAGGAAAGAGTAAAAAAAAAAAAAGAAGTATTGAAGTTTCAAAAGTACCAAAATCACGTAAAGTCTTTTGATCTAGATCGATCTCGCTATGTCATCACCGCATGGCACCTTGCATTAGTTGCTGTCGCAGAAGCATAATTTGGTTTCGTTCCATCGGAGGTAGTGCATCAATAGCCGATTGTGGCATACTGAGCACTTGTTGCAAGAGTTCGTCTTGCCCGGGCATTTGCTGCTGAGGCTGAGGAGGTGTGGAGACCGGACCTGGTACGGCTGAGAATGGCTGAAAAGGTTGCGCTGCGGGAGGAGCGGCTGCTGCCGCTTGGGACTGGGCGGCCTGTTCCACCACTGTTCCTAATGTGCTGTAGTCGACAAGGTTCATCAGGAGCAGGGCCTGGAATATAGCGTATGCAAGCTGAGGGGCTTGTCGTAAAAGTTCCGTAGCGCGTGCCGGGTCGGCCATGACTAATGACTTCATCTGAGAGAGTACATCGAGAAGTTGATTCGGAGGGAGAGAGGAGAGTGTTTGAGAGATTGCGTTCGGGCAGTCTAGGTGCGGAGGAAGATCCACGCCCGGGGGAAGAGGCGGTAGAGGCGCGGATGACTGCTGTGCACCCATTTGTCCATCCTGTCCGGGTATTTGAGACGTCTGCGAATAATCGGGGGGTATCGAATCCTTCTCGTTGTTGTGAGGCCAGTCCACACGGATCTTCCGTCCCATGACCTCATAGTCATTCAAGTTGCGAACTGCGGAGGCGGCTGCATCGGCATCGGCGAAGTCTGCAAACCCATATCCTTTCGGCTTTCCAGTCTCCGGGTTCATCATCAAGCGGAATTTGGTTACTGTGCCCGCGGAGCTAAGAATGTCTTTCACCTGCTCCTCCGTGAGATCTGAGATTGGGCGTTAGCGACAATCAACTGTGGACGTGTGCCACGTAGAAGCACCTACTGTATGGGATGTTTCCCAAAAAGACACTCTTTCCGGCTCTTTCAGGAGGCGCCATCTTTGCCGGAGTTATAGGGAATCTGCAGGCTCTTTCAAATAATGGGGGAACGAGACGTGAAGACGCAGTGTGCGAATGGTTCGAGAGTATTTGGCAGGAGACGGAGGTTGCCACACACTTTCGGCTCAAATGTAACAAATATCTCGTATCACAAAAAGAATTTGTAGCCTACTCCTGAACCCCAGTGGACAATTCTCTGTAGATGGAGTAAGTTGACGGGCAGCTCTACTGGAAGCTTGAGCTTTACTTGAAGGCGGTGACCCAAATGGACGATTTGCCGGAACATCGAAAGAACCTCAACGCCGGCTCCGTCACATCGTCTCCTCTCATATTATTCTACACTCTCAAACCACCATCATGGCTCGGAACCCAAAGGAACAGTGGGAGAGACTCCAAGTGATTCTACAGAACCGCGGAAGCCGTGGAGGGTTTGGCTTCGGCGGTTTCCCCTCCGGTGGGGGTCGTGGTGGCTTGGGGCTGTCGGGAGCTCTGCTCTTGCTCGGTGTTGGTGGATGGGCTATATCAAACTCCCTCTTTAACGGTGAGCATGCCGGGATCTATTAACTTGCTCCGGTGATATGAACAGAATAGCTGACTGAGGCGGTTTCCAGTCGACGGTGGTCACCGTGCAATCAAATACTCGAGAATAGGTGGTGTTCAGAAAGAGATCTACAGTGAAGGTATGCCCGGCCCAAATCTCCTCTTTTTCCTTTCCTTCCATCCCTTCAATCCCATGCTAACTATTTATCTTCACGTCAGGTACTCACATCAGGATTCCATGGGTCGAAACACCGGTTATCTATGACGTGCGCGCGAAGCCGCGGAACATCGCTTCCCTCACTGGTACCAAGGACCTGCAGATGGTGAACATCACCTGTCGTGTTCTGTCGAGGCCCCGAGTGGATGCTCTTCCGCAGATCTACCGTACCCTCGGACAGGACTTCGATGAACGAGTCCTCCCTTCGATTGTCAACGAGGTCCTGAAGAGCGTAGTTGCGCAGTTCAACGCTAGTCAACTTATCACCCAGCGTGAGAATGTCGCCAGGATGGTTCGTGATAGCCTCGCTCGCCGAGCCGCTCGCTTCAACATTGCTCTGGACGATGTGTCGCTTACGGTATGGTTCCCAACTCGTGCATAGATCTAGGATGTTCAAAACACTGACGTCGTACCCTTTGACAGCACTTAACCTTCTCCCCTGAATTCACTGCCGCTGTCGAAGCCAAGCAAGTCGCCCAGCAGGAAGCTCAGCGTGCTGCTTTCCTGGTCGACAAGGCCCGCCAAGAGAAGCAAGCCTTCATTGTCCGCGCTCAGGGTGAGGCTCGTTCCGCCGAACTCATTGGTGATGCCATCAAGAAGAGCAAGAGTTACATCGAGCTGCGTAAGATCGAGAATGCTCGTCAAATTGCCCAGATTCTCCAGGAGAACGGTGGCAAGAACAAGCTCTACCTGGATTCCCAGGGTCTGGGTCTGAATGTCAACGCCAGCGTCGAAGACTCGAAATAAGAAATTCTCTCTGGAAAGGAATAATGACTAAGACGGCTCCCCGCAGATGAAGTTTCTGAGGAAGCCTAGCTTCGCTGTTATACTCAATTGGTTTCATCGGTCTTCATTCTTACTGGCGCTATTGATGTCGCTTTGGAATGGACGATCGGGGTGTGGGATAAGGTATCTGTACAAATAGTTTCGAGTGTTTTTTAGGATTCTCAAAGCAATCGGGCGAAATGTTTCTCTTCTCTTTCAATATGATCTGACTACGAAATACAATAATCATCCTGGCCTTGTTCCCTTGGTAGATGACCTGGCGTTGAGTCTCTATCTATGCTGCGCGGAATGCGATTTAATTGGCTCCGCGCGCGGAGTTGATGAACGCGGTGGGCGGAAATTTTATATCAACGGCGGGGAAGAAACATTTTACTCCTACACTCTAAAGTCGACTCCAACCCAGTCGCTCTAATACAAGGAAACCACTGATACCTCCCAATCGTCTACATAAGTTTCCTATATTAATACGTCTCCCCCTCGACTAGCAAAAGGTATTCCTATCCTCAAACATTCTGGCACTGCCCCGCACCAATCCCACCATTCCCCCCCAAAAAACCCAATACAAGCACATATCTAAAGCACAATCTTACAAGCAATCCAGACCAAATCCACAGAGAAAACAAAGAAAGCCAAAGAAAGAAATGACCGACCCAACAACAGAAATCGACGTCGATATCGACGTCCAAGAAATCCTCCTCGCCGCCTCCCAACACGACATCCCCAAACTCCGCCAACTAATCCGCTCAAACCAGACAATCGCAAACCCTGTCAACGTCAGAGACCCCGAAACTGGGTATGCGCCATTACATGCGGCAATTGCGGCCTGTGAGCCTGACGACGACGAGCCAAACGGCGTCCAGACGAACGGGGAGCAGACGAACGGGGAGCAGAAAGATGAGCAGAAGAGCCTTGAGGAGAAGGGCTCGGCGACTGTGAGGTTTTTGCTTCAGGAGGGCGCGATTTGGAACGATCTCGATAATAATAATGAGACACCTGGGTGTGTTGCTAGGCGGTTGGGGCTGAGGGAGTTGTATGAGCAGCTTGTTGATGCTGGTGTGCGGGCGGAGCTGCTTTTGAACCGGTTGGATGGGTATGAGGAGCTTGAGGATGATGATGAGGAAGAGGAAGAGGGACAGGAAGAGAAGGCTGAGACTGAGGCTGGCGCTGAGGAGGTGGAGGTGGAGGGTGAACCTGCTCCTCAGTTGGTTGAGGCGGCTACAACTACTGAAACGGCTATGGAGACGGGTCCCGATGTCACCAATTCCCGGTATCTTGATTCCAATTTGACTTTCCAGAATGACCGTTTGCTGGACCAGGATCAGAACGGTGTTATGATGGCTTGGGAGACGGATATTATGGCCAAGTCGGCGAAGAAGCTACTGCCTACGTCTGGGCTGCGTGTTCTGAATGTCGGACATGGTATGGGTATTGTGGATGGATTCATCCAGGAGCAGTCACCTGCAGAGCACCATATCATTGAAGCGCACCCGGAGGTTGTCGCTGAGATGAAGCGGAAGGGCTGGGGTGAGAAGCCGGGTGTCACGATCCATGAGGGCCGGTGGCAGGATATTCTCCCTGACTTGGTCGGACAGGGCGTTATGTTTGATGCCATCTACTACGATACATTTGCCGAATCGTATGGCGACTTCCGGGAGTTCTTCAGTGAGCAAGTTATTGGACTCCTTGAGCAAGAGGGGAAGTGGAGTTTCTTCAACGGCATGGGAGCTGACCGGCAAATCAGCTACGATGTCTACCAGAAGGTGGCTGAGATGGACCTGATGGATGCTGGGTTCGATGTTGAATGGGAAGAGATTGCGCTGCCTAAGCTGGATAACGAATGGGATGGCGTGCGCAGAGCATACTGGCAGATTGAAAGCTACCGCCTGCCTCTATGCAAGTATATGGATTAGAATGAGTTAGAAATGATTTATGTTAGACACGCCAAACTTGAAAATAATAGAAGAACACAGTTACACTTAGTATATGCATAATACTCTATACCATCGAAGTGCTACCCTACAAAACCATAAACACACTCTTCCCTATATTGATCGTCTTATAGACACCAATCAGTGAAGATTCTGCTCCTAAATTGCACACCATCATTATTCATTAACCAGCTTGCTCCTACTCCATCAAGGGGAATCACTCCGTATACAAAATAGAATTCCATCTAGCAAGAACCCCCGATATCATCGTCCCCTAAATAACACCCCCTTAGAATAAAACAACGTTGCAAACATGCATCAAAACATGATTGGCCAAGCAAAGAAAGCAGCTTAGTACTGAGTCCGTATGAACCAACACCGTCTCTCCATCTCTATTCTTCACCCCTCAACTCATCTCATCCCCCAAAGGCCAGCCTCTTCCAAATTTACATCTATAACCCCCTAAAAGAAAACACAATGTCCGCCTCCCCAATCCACTACATCCCCCCAAGCAGGGCCCCCCAAATCCTCTCCACAAAAATCCACCGCATAATCGCAAGCCCCCACGTCCAAGTGCCCGTTGCAACAACCAAGAGAACAAACCACTGGTGTCTCTACCTCTCCACGTCAGAGACTACGTGCGTCACCCTGGATTGTCAGCCTAGTCATACTGTGCTTAGTAGTATTTTGGTTGGCGGGTCGAAAGCGTATGTTATTTTATCTGAGTTGAGTGCTCCTGCGGGACAGGATGCGTTGCTTGAGTTTGCGGTTGGGATGGATGTTAGGGCTGGGTTGAAGGTAAGGGATGTGGTGGATGTTTTGGTGGAGAGTGGAAGGGGGAGAAGATATGAGTTTGATGCTGATGGGGTTGGGTGTCGGTTTTGGGTGACTGAGCTGTTGGACTTGTTGCTTAGGGTTGGGGTTCTTGTGGATGGGCAGCAGGTTGAAGGGGCGAAGGGGCGAAGGGGATGGTGAAGAGGTTGTGGCCTGAGGGGACGGGCTTAGATTTGGATCGGGGGTGGTATTACTAGGGAAGGAGAGCTCATTGGTTATGTTAGGTATTTTGAATTATCTATTGCTTTCGTTTCTGAGAGCTTCTCTCTCGATTAATTGGATATTGAACTGGACAAAAACACCAGACACCGTCCCTGCCCTGGTACCCTCGAATCCATGCAGCTGACTCAATATACGCTTTCCCAGATTACATACATACTGTTCCGTGGCATCATGATCCCATCATTTGATTACAAAAGTCGACCTCCAACACGCCGGATGCTCCGTCGTGCACCCTCACCTAGAACATTCACGTAACCTTCCGTCTCCAACGTGCGGACCGCCTCTGTGAATTGACCGCCATCCACCTCGCCGCTGCTCTGCTCAGTCAAAGCACGATAGACATCTCCCCAGCGAGGAGTGGCACCTCCGCTGCTGAGCTCGTCAATCACTGCGAGCAGACCACGCTTCAGGGCCTCCCGCTGACGTCTCTCGCTCGCACTAGTGCCCTCAGTGAGCAGACCCATATCAATCAAACCTGTCCGTGAATCCGTAGCTGCCTGCTTTATAGCGGACCGGATCAAACGCACTGCCTCCTCAACATCTGCTGCAGTCACCTCTAGCGACAACCGCATGCGTGCGTGGGCCTCTGACAGTCGGATCATAGACTCTAGTTGACGAGTGGTCGCCGTAATTCTACGATCAGAGGAGCGGATGTCGTCTCCGAGCTTGCGCATGTTCACATATGCATCCGAGAGAGCTTTACCAGCAGCCGGGGTAAGAACGGGGTGAACCTTCGTCTTGGCGTAAGTAATATATGCCGTCAGGAATTCAATGGGCTGCAAATTTTACAATCTGATTAGCATAATATCAGAGCCACCTGGATGGAACTTCGTTACTTACCAAGACTTCTTCGTCGCTTGCATTTTCTGGCTTGTCTTCCAAATACATGTTGACCAAATGTTTGGCCAACCTACGATCTTCTTGCTCATCCACACGATCCAAAACCAAGTATACCAAATCAAAACGGGACAGCAAGGTGGGTGGAAGGTCAATGTTCTGAGGAACAGGCAGATTGGGGTTGTATCGGCTCCCAATAGGGTTTGCGGAGGCAAGGATACTGGTTCGAGCGTTCAGCGTGGTGATGATGCCTGCTTTAGCGATTGACACTGTCTGTTGCTCCATGACTTCATGGAGGACGGACCGTGTGGATTCGTTCATCTTGTCGAATTCGTCAATACAGCAAATACCACCATCCGAAAGTACCAGGGCACCAGACTCGAGTACCATCTGACGCGTGTCAGGATCCCTGGTCACGTAGGCTGTAAGACCAACAGCGGAAGAACCTTTGCCACTGGTGTAGACACCTCGAGGCGCGATCTTGTGGACATAGCGAAGCAGCTGGGATTTTGAAGTTGATGGATCGCCGCAAAGAAGCACATTAATGTCACCGCGGTAGCGTGGGTTACCACCCTTTTGGAAAGACTTGTTGGTGCCTCCAAACATCTGGAGTAGGATACCCTTCTTGACATCATCCATTTCGTAGACGCTAGGGGCAAGAGACCGAGAAAGGAGTTGATACACATCCGGCCGGGTGGCAGTTCGCCTGATCTTTTCCTCTTCTTCGGCTGTAATCTTTCGAACCTGCTCGGAATCTCCAGCAGCCTGCTCAGACAACTCTTGTTCGATGGTTGTGACGTCGATGCCCAGCTTCTTACGATCGATCTTTTGGACGTGCAAGACATCAATGTAAGTCTTGAAAAGTGCTTTCTGCGTCCGTTGGCGGGGATTCACGCGCACAGGGTTGCACCGGAAGATGCCTGTCACTTCAACTCGATCACCAGCCTTACAGACATCCACCAACTCATCGTATACGCAAAGGGAAACGGAGTGAGGAGTTTGACCGTCGGGGACGCTATCCGGTGTTTCTTGCAATTTGATGACCTGCTTATCGGCGAAAATACAACGGTTGTGAATAATCTCCATGCTGTTTCTTTGTTTGCAGGCAGGGCGTGGACAGATAGTGGGCTCCGCGATCTTTCCACGATCGATATCGACTTGCACACCGTGATTACAAGCCTGGCAACGGAAGAAGGCTAGAGACAAAGTTAGCCGGCGTGGACATAAATTAAAATACTTGCTAACTCACCTTCTTTCATATCCGGGATGATAGGCGTCGCGCGAATGACAAGACCTTTGATGCTCACTAACTTGTCCATATCTAAGGTGTACGTTAGCAACTGTTATATCGGGAAGCGTGTATAATGAGCATACCGGCTGGATCTAGGTCTCTCATGTTCACACTAGAATCAAGCCCGAAAGGAAGAACTTTGAAAGCCTTTGTCTCGACTTCACCAACAAGATCTGGAATTTCGCTCTGAGGCATCCGGCCAGTCTCACTCATGGCATCCGAGCTCGGAACTGCGGGCGCAGAACTGAGATTCCTCGAGTGTGACTGGTTTCGTTGGTTCTGAGTCCGCAGGCGCTCCATCTCCTTGATCGCAAGTTCAACCATAACATCCTTGATGGTCTGATCCATCAAAGGAATAATCTCCTGGGGATATGCATGTAGTTGATGCCATAATTTCAAAGTCAATGGGTATGCTTTAAGGTTCTTCGCATCGAGGTTCAAGCTAGTCACACCCAACTGGCGCATCGTGTTCAACATGTTGATGTATTCTCTCTCCTCTGCAGTATCTCCCAGCCTACGGGTTTCATCTTCTGTTGCACCCTCTGCCCACAGACGATATTTGGTTGCAAAGTTGTAGAGGAAGTTCTTGAACGCGGACATAGAATCTTGAATAGAGATGTTGGTACCCCAGATGACGCGAGTAGAGCTGCCACCTAACGCATCCGCTTCTGAAGTACCGGGGTGGATGTTTGAGAAGGTTGCATCTGACTGTGGCTCTCCATCGGCGGCAGGCATTCCATTGGCGTCAACAAAGACTCTGCGTCGTCGACTAGGCGTAGATCCAAAACCACCCGAATGAAGATCATTGCGACGGGACGCAACATTGCGATGACCGCCTGTGGCCGAGCGATCTGAGACAAAAAGAGCACCACTGCTACTGCTGGGAATATCGGAGCGTCCTGGTTGGAGGCTACGAGCGCGAGTTGGGCTAGAACTAGACGTGTATCGGATTGGGGAAGAGTCTGCTATACGTGAGTAATCAGCGAGTATTTAAGAGTCCTAATGACCGTCGTACCTCCGATAGCGGTACGGTTTCCCCGTGGTGTAGTCTCGTCTTGGTCCATGACGGATGACGCCCTAATAGGAGAGCTGGGCTCATCCATTCTCATATCTGGTGTCTCGGCGCTGCTGCCATTATCTTTGGCTGGTGGTGACGAAGGAACCGCTGCCTCACCCCTTAGACGACGAGAAGCGCGGGGTGTTGTTTGTGCATCTGGTACCCTTGGACTGCTGGCCTCTGCCCTGGATGGGCGACCCCTACGACGAGTTGAAGCCGGAGAAGACATTGTGAGTCGGTCCTGTTAAGTAAATTATGGCAGTTGGAAGGACCGACAGAATCAAAATATTGGGGTTGTTGGGGGGAGGGGTTTGAGAAGGGTTTGTTTGTACGGTGTAGGGATCGATCAAGTGGAGTTTCAATTTGCTAGATTCTTCGTGGATTGCAGGGCGCGTTCCAAACGCGTTGACGCGTTAAGTGGTCACGTGCAGATGATCAGACGAGAGATCAACCAGATATTCAACCATCTTATCGAAAGCAACCATAGAATATGTTTCTGATTAGTTTATATACATCGTACTATGTCTCAATAAATGTCGCTCTCTGTTTTTCCTTTCTCTTGACCGCTGATTGGTCTGTCTTCTATTTCTACAGGGCTATTGTTTGACTTTCTACTCAGGCCGGCAGTAGGAACCTACATTGCTCATACAGCTGCGAACGAATATATTTACGTATAGGTTTTCTCGCCGTGTTTACATCTCTGTTTCTTACCCCACCCCATGGCCCGTCATGATTCATGAGCACTCGCATACACAGCGAATGATGCCTCGTTTGCTAGAATAA